GGCAGCAAATTGGACCCAGGCAACGACCGCCCTGTTTCTATTCTTACCTCCATCTCGAAAGTCATGGAAACAATAGTATATGAACAGGTCGAAAAGTACCTCGCGGAAAAGAAACTAATCTATGAATTTCAATCTGGCTTTAGAACATCCCACTCCACTGACACATGCCTTCTTTATTTGAGCGACCACATCAAACAAGAGGTGGACGAGGGCAAGTACTGCGGCATGGTGATGCTGGACCTACAAAAGGCTTTCGACACTGTCAATCACCCCATTCTGATTGACAAGCTAAAAGCCATTGGTTTTGATAAACTATCGGTGAGCTGGATGCAATCCTACCTGGAGGGGAGAGAACAGATGGTGGAGGTAAATGGTACTCTGTCCCCCCCCCTCCCAGTGAGCTGTGGTGTTCCACAAGGAAGCATATTAGGACCGTTACTGTTCCTAATTTATGTAAATGACATGTCATCAGCATGTGACTGCAACTTGTTCCTGTTCGCGGACGACTCAGCCCTGCTGGTCTCTGACAGGAACAGGTTGCAGGTTGAAAAAACCCTCAGCTCCGAGCTCGGCAGAATCTGCACCTGGCTCGCCGATAATAAATTATCATTACACCTGGGTAAAACAGAGTCCATTCTCTTCGGTTCGAAACATAATCTCAGCAAATCCGACGACTTCTCAGTTGCAGTGGGCGACATTATTGTCACAAGTAAGAAGGAAATTACATACCTAGGATCTATTCTTGAGGCAAACCTCTCCTGTGACAAAATGGCATCCAATGTAATAAAAAAAGTCAATCAAAGAACTAGATTCCTATACCGGATCTCCTCTCTGGTAAACAAGAACACCCTGAAGACTCTGGCAGGAGCACTCATTCAAGGGTACTATGACTATGCTTGCACGTCATGGTACCATAGCACCTCCAAGGCGCTAAAAATAAAACTTCAAACATCGCAAAATAAACTGGTCAGACTACTGCTTGACCTTTCATCTAGAACCCACCTCACCTCTGCCCACTTTGACAACCTAGGATGGCTTAGAGTAGACGACAGAGTACAGCTACTTGCAATGGGCCTGGTCTACAAGATCCACTACACCTCTATGGTACCCATGTACATGTCAACATTCTTCCCAAAGGTCAAGGAATACCATGATCATAACACCAGAGGGAGCTCCACAAATCATGTGAAACCCAGATTTGGCACAAAAAAGGGGGAATACACGTTTCGCAATGATGCCACATCAAGGTGAAACGCTCTTCCCACAACTGTAAAGGAAAGTAAAACTATACTTACCTTCAAAACCTCTCTTAAAGAGCACCTTCGGGGGAGAGCATTGCAAAACTGGCCCCGGTAATGGTACACATCTCAACCTGTCGTTCAATGGACAGCTTCCCCCCCCCCCTCTATGTATATACTCGCATTTTAGACTCTGTTACTAACTGTATATCTGTAGACTTGGTATGTCTTAAATGTCCGGTTAGGATGTATTAGAACCAAATCTAAAATGAAAATTGTAAACAAGCAATCTGTATGTAAAAAACCACCTGTATGTAAATTGTAAATAAGCCATCTGTATGTCAAATATGTCTTATATGTCTTAAATGACATGATGAATTGGAAATGGGGGACCCTGATGTAAACAAGACGAAAGTCTTTCTCTGGTCTGCATCCCCTTAACAATTGTATGTTTTGAGCTGTACTGTACTGTACCCAATATACAAGCTGTTAATACACTTTTCAATCAATCAATCAATCACAGTTTCTGCCCCCCCCCCCCCTCCCAGCTGCTGCTCCTTCGAGGACTACAACCTGACCACTGAGTGGCTCCTGAACCACACCTCCCAGCGCCCCAAGGTGGCTGTGATCTGTGGCTCTGGACTGGGACTACTGGCTGACGGAGCAGCGAACAAGCAGACCTTCAGGTACCAGGACATCCCCAACTTTCCCGTCAGCACAGGTGAGTGTGGCCCCGCCCCCTGAGGCTGAGGGGGGGGCGTTAGCTCAACTACAGGCACTGTGTTTATGTGTGTTCAGGTGTGTTTATGTGGTGTGTTCATGTGTGTTCAGGTAAGTTCAGGTGTGTTCAGGTAAGTTCAGGTGTGTTCATGTGTTATCGGGTGTGTTCATGTGTGTGCAGGTGTGTTCATGTGTGTGCATGTGTGTTTATGTGTGTTCAGGTGTGTTCATGTGTGTGCAGGTGTGTTCATGTGTGTTCAAATGTGTTCAGGTGTGTTCATGTGTGTTCATGTGTGTGCAGGTGTTCAGGTGTGTTCATGTGTGTGTGCAAGGTGTGTTCAGGTGTGTTCATGTGTGTGCAGGTGTGTTCATGTGTGTTCAGGTGTGTTCATGTGTGTGCAGGTGTGTTCAGGTGTGTTGTGTTCAGGTGTGTTCATGTGTGTTCAGGTGTGTTCATGTGTGTTCAGGTGTGTTCAGGTGTGTTCAGGTGTGTTCAGGTGTGTTCAGGTGTGTTCAGGTGTGTTCATGTGTGTTCATGTGTGTTCAGGTGTGTTGTGTTCATGTGTGTTGTGTTCATGTGTGTTCATGTGTGTTCATGTGTGTTCAGGTGTGTTCAGGTGTGTTCATGTGTGTTCATGTGTGTTCAGGTGTGTTGTGTTCAGGTGTGTTGTGTTCAGGTGTGTTCAGGTGTGTTCAGATATGTTCATGTGTTTCCTGTCTCTCTCCAGTGGCGGGTCATGAAGGCTGTCTGGTGTTTGGGACGATCGAGGACACTTCCTGTGTCTTCATGCAGGGACACTTCCACCTGTACGAAGGTTACTCCCTCTGCCAGGTGGGCCATTACCCAGCATGCACCTGAACCTCTCTGAAGTGTTTCCTGGTCTGGTTCTGTTGGGTCCATCAGACTGGGAGGTGCTGTTAGCACTGGTATTCCCTTCTGGGCAGAGGAAGGATCTCAGTGATCAGTTTTGAAAGTCAAGGGTTTCTGGAAAGGGATCTTTTTAAAGAGTCAATAGATCCAGTTCTAGTGGGTCTGGAGGTCCACAAGGAGTCCTTTGAAGGTGCTCCAGTGTTCCCAGAAAGGTTTCCATAGATCCTTTAAGAGGGTCTGTACGTACTTGAAAAGGGGTCGTAGGTCGCGTTCACACCAGCTTTGTAGACCTCAGACCTCTGACGTGAACTGAACAACTTGAAAGACGTGGTCTCAGACCTCTGAAGTTTGTTTGTTTGTAGCCTTTATTTAACCAGGTGAAGCCCCTTGAGATCAAAAGATCTCTTCTTCAAGGTGACCTGCAGGACATTAGTCACACATGTAACATAGAAACAACAAAACAACAATAAGGATGACAAACAACATAATGTACAGTTTACAGACTCTATTCACAGAGACAGGCACCATGAGTATCAAACACTGAGTTTCAAAGTGATGCAGGGGAACCAAAGTGCTCAGTTTGAAACATGTTTGCAGACTGTTCCAAGTTAGTGGAGCTGCACAACTAAAAGCTTTCTTCCCTAAGACAGTCCTAGCACTTGGCACATTTAATAAAACAACATCATGAGATCTCAGGCAATAAGTACTTTCAATTCGTGGAGAGATCAGAGAGCAGATATAAGAAGGTAGTTTACCCAACATGGCTTTATAGATGAACGTGTACCAGTGACTGAGCCTCCGTACAGTTAGTGATGGCAGACCTGCCTCGCATACAGGGTACAGTGATGAGTAAGTGCTTTACAGTGTGTCACACATCTCAGTGCGCTGTGATAGGCAGCATCTAACTTGATCAGGCAATGGGCAGGTGCATTCATATAGATCAGATCACCAGAGTCCAGCACAGGTCAAAAGGTCACAGAGCCTTTTCCTGGCTTCAAGAGAGAAACAGGACTTGTTCCTGTAGAAGAAACCTAGCCTAACCCTCAGCTTTTTAAGCAGCTTATTGACATGAAGTTTAAAAGAGAGACAATCATCAAGCCAGATACCAAGGTATTTATAACTGGTAACCACTTTGAGTTTTATTCCTTGCGTAGTTACAATATCTAAAACAGGCTCTGGTGTCTTTTTAGCTTTAGAAAAGAGCATTACTTTGGTTTTCTCAACATTTAAAAGAAGCTTTAGTTCAGAGAGCTGAGTCTGAATAATGTTAAAAACAGCCTGTAATTTAACACCAGCCTCCTGAATGGAGGGACCTGCACAGTACATCACGGTATCTTCAGCATAAAAATGTAAAGTAGCTTCATCCACATTTTCACCTAAACTGTTGATATGGAGAATAAAAGTGGACCTAAAACAGAACCTTGAGGAACACCATTAGCAATGTTTAACCACTCAGAAGACAGCCCATCAAAGTGAACACATTGGGACCTTTCAGAGAGGTAGTTCACAAACCACCCACTGCATGGCTGGATATGCCGATACTGAGTAGCCTCTGCTTTAAGATGCGATGATCGACGGTATCAAACGCTTTGGACAGGTCAACAAATAGAGCTGCACAACTCTGCTTATTATCTAAAATACTCGTAATATCATTCACCACTTTCATTGTGGCAGTGATGGTGCTGTGTTGCTTTCTGAAGCCTGACTGATGTTTAGACAGGATGTCATTGTTACATAAAAACTCCTTTACCTGTTCACTCACTAAGCGTTCGAGCACCTTAGCCAGAACTGACAACTTAGAGATTGGCCTATAGTTATTTAATAAGGTGGCCTCCCCTCCTTTTAGCAAAGGCAGGACATACGCTGACTTCCATACTTTTGGAATTGCATTAGTGCTGAGGGAGAGGTTAAAAAGAGTAGTGAGAGGTGGAGCAATAACATCTGCAGCTATCTTTAAAAAGAAAGGTTCTACGTTGTCCGGGCCGGCCGGTTTCTTAGGATCTAACTTGGTTAAAGCTTCACGAACAACATCAACAGTAAAAGGAGTAAAACTGAAAGGGTTTTCCAGACCACATTGTTCAGAGAACCACAGGACACAAAATGCATTTTGAAGTGAAGCTATTCCTTAGCTGCCTGAAACGCAGCCACTCTACCTCTGAGCCTGATCTCCTAGCCTTTGCCCAGGCCTTGTTTCTCTCATGAAGGAGACTGGACAGTTCAGCAGAGAACCAAGGATTGTCTCGTCCCTTCACTCTAAATGTACGCAGGGGTGCATGTCTATCTATGATCTCCATAAAACCAAGATAAAAATAAGACCATGCGGTTTCCACATCAGCACACAGATCGATTTTACCCCAATCAAACCCAAACAGATCATGCACAAAACCCTGCTCCACAAAGTGTTTTATGTCTCTCTTGATGATAATACGAGGTTTAACCTTTTGGACCTTAGTGTCCCTAATTGTGGCTACAACACAGTGATCACTCAGATCATTCTCAAATACTCCCACAGATGAGTATTTATGGGGAACATTAGTTAGAATGAGATCAATTAGGGAGGATTTATTAGGGGACTTAATGTTAGGGCGAGTAGGACTGTCCACAATCTGAGTAACATTTAATGAGATACAAAGGTTTTTAAAATCCTCTGACACTGCAGTTAACCAGTCCCAGTTCAAATCTCCAAGTAGCACTATTTCCTTGTAGTCTAGTTGTGATAAAAGATTTGCTAGCGAAGACAATGAGTCTTTGACAGCTGAGGGGGGTCTGTAACAGCTCACCACCATGACCTGTTGACCCTTTGCCACTTCTATATTTAAGGCTAAAAATTCAAATTGCTTACTGATCGATTTGGAAACTAATGTGGATACACTGAACTTATTCTTAACATAAATGGCAACGCCACCACCTTTATTAGGCCGGTCGGTACGATACACATTAAAACCATTTAAGGCAATGTCAGAGGCCAAAATAGATTTGTTTAGCCATGTTTCTGATAAGACAATGACGTCAGCGTCAGTCGAGCCCAGATACGGACAACATCTAGTTTACCTAACAGACTGCGCACATTCAAGTGGATGAAACCCAACCCAGACCTAGCTTTAAAATCAGCAGGAGTAGCGATCTGACTACTACTACTGGCCGGACCAGGGTTAGGTTGTACATTTCCTGACAGTAATAACAACAACAAAACCAGGCATCTTTTCCTCTTAAGCGACACACATACATTGTCATCTACTTTAGAAACACCGGAAAAGTCTGCGAGAGTGTGATTAGAGCTTAAGAAGCAGTCCTGAAGAACCATCATCGCAGGAAAATAAAAAAGACAAACATATTTTGTCGAGCAGATTGTCTGTGACAAGGCAACCGGTAATTGTTTGAGCAACACATCCGAACCTTTGCAGGGGATGCCCACTGCGGGTGGCAGAACAGACCTGAATCCAGTAGACTTCTCAGAATGACTAGAGATCTTCTCATAGTCCAAAACAGTTAACAGGCACAGCAGAATCCCGATATGGGCCATTTCCCCAGACCAGCACACAGTATCCGCGATGCTCCTGGAGCAAATCAGCACAGCAGCACAGGACAGGCGAAAGCAGCAGCGTGGAAGTGCTCCGGTCCCTCCGTGGTATTCCCGGGGTGAAAGCAGGCCGAACTAGGACAGGTGGAAAGCAGGCCTCTGCGACAGCAGAACCAGGACAGGTGGAAAGCAGGCCCCAGCGGTGGTAAAATCCTCCTCCGCACAGCAGCACACGCCCGGTGGAAGCAGGCCAAGCCCGAAGCGTGGATCCACTCCGTCTCTCCGCGACGACTCCGGGGTAAAAACCTCTCCAGTACAGCCGTATTCTACAGGTGGGAGCAGGCCTCCGTAGATCGCAGATCGCAGGCAGCAAACAGGTGGAGCCGCTCCGTCTCTTCGCGACGAGCAGGCCTCCGTAAATCGCAGATCGCATGCAGCAACAGGTGGAGCCACTCCGTCTTTTCGCGACGTCTCCGGAGGAAAAACACCTCAGTACAGCCGCACTCGACAGGTGGGAGTAGGCCTCCACAGTTCGCAGACAACTAAAACTACTACTTGTATAAGCAGGGATGGCTAAAAGTTTGTAAGCAGGAGAGCTAGATGCTGCTAGATGCTAACAGATGCTAACAGATGCCAGATGAACTGAACAACTTGAAAGAGGTGGTCTCAGACCCCTGAAGTGAACTGAACAAACTGAAAGAGGTGATCTCAGACGTGGTCTCTGACCTCTGAAGTGAACTGAACAAACTGAAAGAGGTGGTCTCAGACGTGGTCTCAGACCTCTGAAGTGAACTGAACAACCTGAAAGAGGTGGTCTCAGACGTGGTCTCAGACCTCTGAAGTGAACTGAACAACCTGAAAGAGGTGGTCTCAGACGTGGTCTCAGACCCCTGAAGTTTACTGAACAAACTGAAAGAGGTGGTCTCAGACCTCTGAAGTGAACTGAACAAACTGAAAGAGGTGGTCTCAGACGTGGTCTCAGACCTCTGAAGTGAACTGAACAACCTGAAAGAGGTGGTCTCAGACGTGGTCTCAGACCCCTGAAGTTTACTGAACAAACTGAAAGAGGTGGTCTCAGACCTCTGAAGTGAACTGAACAACCTGAACGAGGTGGTCTCAGACCTCTGAAGTGTACTCAACAACCTGAACGAGGTGGTCTCAGACCTCTGAAGTGTACTCAACAACCTGAACGAGGTGGTCTCAGACCTCTGAAGTTTGCTGAACAACCTGAAAGAGGTGGTCTCAGACCTCTGAAGTGTACTCAACAACCTGAAAGAGGTGGTCTCAGACCTCTGAAGTTTGCTGAACAACCTGAAAGAGGTGGTCTCAAACCTCTGAAGTGAACTGAACAACCTGAAAGAGGTGGTCTCAGACCTCTGAAGTGATCAACCTGAAAGAGGTGGTCTCAGAGGTGGTCTCAGACCTCTGAAATTAACTGAAC